ATATATATATATATATATATATATATATATATATATATATATATATAGTTTCTAACAATCGTGTTCTAGTCTGTATACGCGGCTTTATAATCGCGTGGCTACGATCAATTGAAATTCCTCGCTCGGCACGTTACTCGAAACGTAGGCAAAAGCTTTCTCCGATCCGTGCCAGATGGTCCAATCTACCAAAGTTCCAAGTGAAATTTCAATATAGAATAACGTACCGATACAAGCTGCGCAACGAGTGTCAAATTTACTTGAAAAACTTGCGCGGCTCGACCTCTCTCTTTTTCCTTCCCGTTCATTTCACGTTTCTATTTTCGAGCAGCGGTTAAACGATACGTTCTATATATATATCACCGTTCTCGAAACGGACGCGCACACCTGCGCTTTTTTCTTACCTTCGGAAACTGTCGATTCTCGAAAGAAAAACCTCTTTCCGAACGAGTATATACTCCACCGAATTTTTCCACCACGATCCAATGAACCAACGAGGAATGAAAGAAAAAAAAAAAAAAGAAGAGAAGAAAACGAGAAAACAAATTTTTACAATCGTTACGATCTCACCGTAATTATTAGAACGTTAAGAGAGATTTTTATCCTTCTAATAGCAATACACGAGCAAGGAAAAAAAAAGAGGAAAAGAAAGATGGACGTACCTCTTGGTCGTACTTGTCGACGATCTCGTCGGTTATGGCCTCGTTCGAGGCGACATCTTCGTCGGAGCTGTTATTGACAGCGATCACTTCGCGCGAGTCGAAGTTGTTGGAGGGAGACGAGATCCTATCGTCAGCGATTGGTGGCGTGGACGATGGCGCGGAGACGTTCGAATTCCTAGTGTCGTCCCTCGACATCGCCTCGTGCGACTCGGCCACGGCCTTCAACTCGTCCTCGTACTCGTCCTCGCCCTCGTAATCCTCCTCCTCCTGCTCTTCGTTCTCGATCCGTTCGACCTCACCTCGCGAGCCAACCGCGACCCCCTCATCCTCCAGGCTGATGACGCTGCTTGCGTTTCTTCTTTCAGGATTTATAACCTGGAAGGTGGCAAGGTGAGAGACGAGCGTTGAGCAAGAATGATTTAACCGTTGACGAGATGTTATTTGTGTTCTTCAAAAAGATAGAGATGGGTTGGATTGTAAAATATTTCTTTCTATTATGCGAGAGACGAATAAAATAATGTGAAATCAGAATTATTAGAAAGCTTTTTTTTTTTCTTTTATTTTTGGTAGAAATATTTATCGATGGAAATGAAAATTTAAAAAAAAAAAAGGAGTTCTTTCGTCCTATTCGGAGTAAGTAGAACGGACTATCGATTAGTTAAAATCATTATTTTTGAACGTTGTTAAATTTCTCTTTCCATTATTGCGTAAATTGTTAATGAAATTTATTTTGTCGGTAAGTTAGACAACGATCGGAGAATATCGATCAGCGCCATCTCGCGTTTGGATCCGCGAAGCTTCGACTCGTTACTAGCATAGCAGGATACGCGAGGAGGTATTCGTGACGTCACGAGGAAGAACGTGCCACTATTTTTGGTTATGCGGTTCCTGATACTTTTAAATTTTCGAGAACATTACATCGAAATCTCGTTAATTATTAATTTTCTACGCAAAATTTTTACACTTTTAAGCTTGCACGTTAAAGTTAACACCTTCGACAACTTTCACGTGTCGATTTTAACTACGGATTCTTTTCGATTAATTATTTATTAACGATTAATGGCTCGCATACGGATCGACGTAATCGACGCGCAACGCGTTTTTCACTAATTTCGTATTATCGCGAGATTTGTTTCTACGCATGAATGTATGCATCTGAAACATTAGATTCTCATCTACATTCACGTATTATTTTCATTCGTATTATTTATCGTCGTTTTAAATGAATAATTCAATCGTTCACCGTTCGATTGTACGAAGCGAGGATACCACGCGATTGACGCATTCTTCGTAATAATTGTTAATAATTGATTAAAAATTTCTGCACTTTTAAGCTTGCATCTCAAAGCTGGAACCTCGAACAATTTTCTCGTGTAAATTTTTTACGGGAAATTGTTTTCCATTAATTATTTATCAGCGATTATCGTAGAGAGCGTCTCGCTTCGTAATAACAATCGATTTATTCTTGCAAATAACAACATAATTACGAATAAAAATTATACGTTAACGCGAAGAAAAAGACAACGTTCGAGATTCGTGCGTTTATATTATATAAATAAATCTCGTAATAACGTGAAATTAATGAAAAATGTATTGCACGTAGCGATACGTCAGACCGCGCGCGATGCAATTAATCGATAATTAATAATTAACTGAAAACGATTTTCCGTTGCAAAATTTATATCAAAGACTCGTTTAAGCTTCTACATCTTTGAAACGCTAGCTCAAAGGTATAAAAGTTCACGATAAAATATTATTTATCAATTAATTTTCAATTCGAAGCGTCTTCGAAGTGGTGGGGGTACAATGGCGCGCCTTCTCTGTCTCTCTCGCACACTGTTGCTCACCTTCTCTGGTGACGTCACGAATACCTCCTCGCGTATCCTGCTACGCTAGTAACGAGTCGAAGCTTCGCGGATCCAAACGCGAGATGGCGTTGATCAAAATTTTTCTATCGTCGTCTAACTTATCGACAAAATTGACTCCGACGTTCGAAGTTACTTATTTTAATACACAAATAAGTTTCATACATACATATTTTTACGTTTATTTAGCCAATTTTAATCGTCGTTTGTCACGCAAAATTCCTTTTTTTTTTTTTCAGTACGCAAAGTTAAATTAAATTCAAATTTAATCATTTAGCGTTTCGCGATGTCGAAACGAAATTAAGCGTATAATAATTATACCACGATAAAATCGTCGTGACAAAACACGATCTTTAATTTTTGTTCCTATCGATGTTATTCCGCGAAAAGGGTAATATTTATATTCAATTAATAACCGAGCATTTAATCGCTGCTTCTTGCGTCGCAATTTATTTACGCCATCGTCGATCGTAAATTACATTTTTCGTCGATCGTTTTTCATTACGAATCTCGCTTCTTCGTATCATAACTATTGAAATACAGTTTCGACATTCCCCTCGACGTCCCGTTATTTCCCATTTGTTGTCCAAATGGATAACAACGGGAAAATACGTCTACGCGTTTGTTCGTCAATAACCTAGATTCGTTACAATTCCGTTAAATTTAACGGAAGAGAAACGGCGATGCTTCTTCTCTCCTGGAGTAGAAAAAAGCATCGAATTCATCACAGCAACAACGATACAACGATACAAACGATTTTTTTTCTTCTTTTTCTCTTTTTCTCCTCCTCCCAGCCCCCTCGAACGTTTACGCTCTTCGACGGCTTCGCTCGCAACAATTTCCAAACACACTTCACGTTTCACGAATCTTGTTACCTCGGTCGCGAGAGAACGAATAATTATCGATTTCTCGGCCGCATTTTACCGGCTTTCTTCCGCCGATTTTCGACCAAAATGGAAAGAAGGGGGAAGATCACATCGATCTTCGAAATTAGACTTTCTTTTCCCGCGATTAAAAATTCGATCAAAAACGACAAGTGTATGTAGCGATTTGTGGATTCGGCGTTCGGCCGAAATACATACTCATAAAATGATGGAACGAGAATTAGAATTTCGTCATACTCACGGCAACGGTTCCCAACGACGCCTTCTCCGACGGACTGGTAACTGGAACAAAAAACGAAACGCTCGATTAACCGCGCGATCCTGTTTTCCGTAACCTCGTTTTTCATTTTCTTCCTTTTTTTCTTCCGCGTGTATAAATATGTATATACGAAAAACAACGCGGGGGGGAATCGTGAAGTCGCGAAGGAAACGCGAATTCCGGACTTTTAACGAGGCTTAAAGTTTAAAACGGAGAAACAACGGGAGGCGAAGGAAGAGGATATAATAAAGAGGGAGGAGGTGAAAAAAGCGGAATATGAAAACGGATGGGAGAAAGGAAGGGGGAAGCGGACAGAAATGTGACACGAGGTGTGCGAGCGGAAAAGAAGAGTTCGTGAATGCGACGAGGCGGAAATGGGAGAGGGGGGAGGGAAGAGAAAAAATTGTCGTGAAAAGCAGAGAAGGGGGGGATTCTCCCTCCCTTCGAAAGTAACTCTCTCGAAACGCGAAAGAGGAACGGTGCACAATCCATTTCCTAGATTCATCTGCTCGTCATAATTAATTCTGCTCTACGTCGGAGTAACGAGGCGGGGGGCCGTTTGTTTTCTAACCTCATTTTTCTCGTTTCCTCTTTCTCGCTTTAATTTAATTATATATATACTTCTCGCTCCTTCTTCTCCCCTTTTTGGCCGATCTTTCCTCCTTCTCCTCCTTCATCAGAGATCATCGTGCAAATTTCGCAAATTTCGTGGATGGCGGAGAACTTTAAACGCTCTTAGGTCTCATTAAACAGCGTTTAATAGAATTTAAAGTTCATCGGAAATTTTTATTCCCCGATTTTTATTATCGAATGTTGACACCAGCGTTATTTCATTCAGTTGGTGCACGTTTGTTTTTCCTCGAACGTTTCGTAAACAGATACGCGCGCAATTATATGCAATTAAATATATATTCGTTCACCCGAATCCGTCATCAATCATTTTATTTATCAGTCGACAAATAGGTCGCCAGGTTTTTAACGAAACCCTTTCACGCAATAAGAATGAAAATCGAGGAAAAGAATCGAAATGTAAAGATCGAGGAAGGATGTAACAACAAATCGATCGATATCCGCGGGAGGATCTCTCTCGTTGCAATTTGGAATTTGGAATTTTTCAAACGAATTTTCGAACGTTTTCACGAAAGGAAAGGATTCGAGATCGTGGTTTCGTATTTCTCCGAGAAAATTTTCGCCTCGGCCAACTCGAATTAAAAATTCTCTTCGAAATCGCGGTCCATACGAGCCTCTGAATATGTCTATTCAACGAGCGAAGAACTTGTTACGAATATATAATATTCGGCAGAATATTAAGAATATCTTATCGATCCGAATAACTTCATCAGAGAAAGGATATATAATTCTATATAATGGAACGAAAGATTGAACAACGTGTTCTTTACAATATTTAATATTATAACGAATATTATCATAATCAATAATCTCTCGTCGAAAGAGAATCAGATGTCAATGAACGAAAAATCTAAGACGATACTCCCAACGAAAGCAACGTTTTTGCCTTCTCCCTCGATCATCGAATATTTTCAATCGATTCTAGCTGACACTAAAAAAAAAAAAAGAAAAAAGGAAAAATTGACTGGACTTTGACTCGAGCAACTTTCCACCGTCCAAAAAGAGGAAGCACGAAGGAGGAATTAACGAAGACAATTTCTAATTTTCTTTTTAGAAATCTTCTTCCTCGACTTAAGAACTCGCCAATCCCCGCGACAAGCATCGATCGGCGAACAGAGCTCGAACGAAACTTGCAGGAGACAAGGGTGACAAAGGTTGGGAAACGTCGTAATTACCGTGGCCTGGTTTTAATCACCCCCTTCGAAGGAGAGGAGGGTCGATTAAACGTTTTGATCACACGCTAACGAGGCACGTGTCGAGATCGTGTCGCCTCCTCCTCCTCCTCCTCCTCTCCTCATTGTCTCGTGTAATAATTTTCGAACAACACGCGAATCGAAAACATTCGGGGGGGAAAAGGTGGAGAGGGACGAACGAGATTAATCACCTTGCTATCGATACAACGTATGGCACCACGATTTTTTCCCCCTTTTGATCGATACCCCGCGTTATTTTTTTCCTTCTTTTTTTTTTTTTTTTTTTTTGTCAATCCTCCCCTCCGCGCTTTCGAGTAAACTTTAATATCCGCGCTTTATTATTATTTTTTTTTATTCTATTTCGAGAGAGTGTAAACGAGAATTCATGGGTTTTTTTCCTCCCCCCCCCCCCCTCTCTTTTTCATTGATTTCGCACGATACGACGTTGGAATGGAAATTTGGAGGAATAACGAACGGAGAAAGCGGCGAATAATAAAGATGGCGAAATGCGTAGTATTGCTTTTCGAAACGTTTCGATGAACCGCGACAGGAGAAGTGTAGTATAGTTTTATAGTTGTAGCACACGATTATCTCGATGATGGATACGGAAACGAGACGAATTATAGGGTTTCACAGTAGTGCATAATTTCCCGATCGAATTGTTTGAACTTTAATCGACGTGCGCGCAAACAAACAACAATATATCATCCCTTTTTGACAAACGCCAAAACCGTATGCAAATAACGGGTGTTTGCCCGAAACCGAAATACGATTTGCGTGGGTGGAAAAAAAGGGCGAATAATTTTCACGCCTCGATACATATCTGTAATCATTCCATTTTTTTTTTTTTTTCTTTTCCTGTATCGATTTCCAACACGGGATCGTGTAAAATTCGAAATCCATTAATTTTATCGCAATCGTGATTAATATTTCGATCGAAGAGGATCTTTCTCTTCCATTCTCAATTTTCGACCACGCCGAACTTTTTACTTTTGCCTTTTTTCATCGAAGCATTTTCGCGGGAGCAAGAAGAACAAATCGTAGAAAATAATGGCTCGTATTTAACCATACCGATCTTCCAATTATCGATTTCGAAGGAAATCCACGATCTATCGTGCTGCGAGTATAAGAGGGATTTCTTGGAAAAGAGGATCCAAACGCGATAGCAATTTTCAACTCGCGTTTCAACAACAACAACAACAACAATCTCGTTCCGCCCAATCTCGTCGAGGGTCTAACACTCGATACGTTTCTCGCGGTCGTCGAGTGGATGGCAAAAAGTGGGCGGAGAAATAAATGGCGGGGGAGGGGGGGGGGGAACGGGTTTTCGAAACGCGGTTATTACGATTCGCGCATTCAGCCCGATTTTTCAATGCCGCGTCTCTCCCTCGACAACGTAATATCGCATCGGTCACCGCCCCCCCTCTCCATTCTTCCCACGGTTATCTCGCGGAGGTAAAAAAGTAGTGTGCGGCGCAGCAGCACACCCCCCACTGCTCTTCATTGCCGCGTTCTTCTTCGCGGTGTTCGCCATTCCCCTCCCCTTTTCTCGAAAAACGCTCGTAAAGAGGTCGGTGGTTTTAACACGCGAATTCGCTCGTTCGATAATATCCTTTTTAAAAGGAATGGAGTATTTTTTAAAGCAGGTTGGAAGTACAACAAGAGGAATTTCTCTACGAATGAATTCGATCCCTTTTGAATCGCATTCGGCGAATCGAGCAGAGGCGTATTAATATCCGTCTGGGTATTCACCTGTGTGTTTTCAATGCTCAGAAAGAGTGTGCGCATTATTGTCGTTGCTACGATCGACGATTCTATCTCGTTAATGCTGCATTATGGGTCGAGAATAGGACGAAGTGAAGCACAGATCGATCGATCCAATCGAAGGTATTAATTAAGAGATTATATTCTTATCTCGACTTATTTTGCGTCCTCGATAATAACAACTAGGAAGATCAACGAGGAGCAATGGGTATCACAGGATTCGAGGAGAAGGCTCTTAAAGGGAACGAATCGATCGAAGCAAACTCGATCGCTTATCTTTTCTACACCTACGTATAAAGGAATATAAATCCTGCAGATCCCGTGTTCTCTTCTATTTCTTCGCACCAATTTACGACGGCAAATAATCATTCGAAAAGCCAGGAGAAGACTTATCGTTTCGAATATCCCGCTTTCGAATATCCCGTTTTTCCGATACTTCGTCCCCCCTTCGTCTTCTCCCTCCCCGCCCTTTCCAGTTCCCCACTCGTTGAAAGGGAATCCACGCGAGTGGAGATCGATGAATGCAGCAGGTTGGCCCACGAAGAGAAAAGCTTCGGATTAAACAGAGGCTTGGAAACGCGATCCGATGTTTTGCTCGAATTCCAAATTCCTTTTTTCTTCCTTTCTTTCTTTTTTAACGAGGAGTTCTTCGAGGAAGGATCATTGCCACGAGAAATCGAACAAGTTTCGCACACCAGAAGTCAAGTTTTATCTTTCCATGAAACTAGTTAGTTTTTGAACAAAGCTTATATACGGTTAGGATAATCACGTGAAATATATATATATATATATAGTACGAAGTTTATTTTTAATTAAATTTGCATCGAGACAAAAAGATAATAGTCGTAATAGGAGCGGTGGCAAATATCACGTATCCGATCAAGAAAACACCAAGAATGCGAGATATAATCCAAAACGAGAGTATACTAACGTATGATTTAACGATGATATAAAAATCTTTTTATTTCTCGTAATAAAAATCAACTTAGGCTAATCGTGATACATCCAGGCAATTATCTTAATATAAATGAAAATAATTATTACGAAAACACGTTCAAATTACACCTCTTCTACTATTAATAATAACACGCAGAATGTCAACAAAGCGTTCAAAGCGGGGATTCGATAATGGAAACAGTGCCGTTCGTATCGTCGAACGTATTAAACGTCTGATATACACGTATGATATATGTAAGTAAGTATTTTACTTAATAATCAGTCAATCATAATATAAAGCACGAATTGAAATCATCGAATGTTTATTTCTAATCTCCACGTAAATGATCCGCCTAAGAATAACCTAAGAAGAAACAAGTACAACTTAAAATTGTAATAACGCACGATACATGGAACGCAAGTTTTATATATATATATACACACACCACGATAATCTCTCCCTTGAATATCATCACCGTATCCTCTCGATCCAACCACGC